GGGAGGGAATGGTTTCAGGATGAAATTTTTCCACCACAGATCATCAGGCATTAGATTCTCATAAGGAACATGCCTAGGTCCCTTGCATGTGCAGTTCACAATAAGATTGGTGTTCCTATGAGAATCTAATGCCACAGCTGATTTGACAAGAGGCAGAGCTCAGGCGGTAATGCTCACTTGCCCACTGCTCACCTTCTGCTCTGTGGTCCAGTTCCTAACAGGCCAAAGACTGGTACTGGTCTACGGCCCAGGGGTTGGGAACCCCTGCATTAGGGAACTGTGAATAAGATTGTTGGATTGCATCAATGTCAGTATTCTGGTTGTGTTATCGTACTATGGTTTTGCAAGATGTTATCATTTGGGGAAACTGGATTGAGGGCCCATGTGACTCTCTGTTCTCTTTATTACAACCATATGCAAATCTACAATTATATTATTATCACCGATAATCATATTCCTTATCTTAGATCTGTTTTGAAAAAGATAACTTCATGCCTAATATAATACCAAAGTACAAACTTTTACCTTGACATATCTGGACTTGAATCCTGGCTCTATCGCTTTTTAATTGACAATGTTACTTAACCTCACATGGCTTTGTTTTCTCATCAAATGAATAAGAATAATAGTAAATACCTTGCAGGGTTTCAGGGATTAAATTAGATAGAGTATGTAAATCACTTTTTCAGTACTTGACATATAGGAAACACTGAAAAATATTATCTGCTGTGGTCATCATCATCATTATAATCCTCACTATTAATTATTAATTATGTGATTAGAGATAAGAGGAAGTTTTAATCACCTTTTCTCAGGCTAGAGTCTAAACTAGCTGCTGGATATTCTGGCTTCTCTTTAATAACGGGCACTTGGAATTTTTACATTGTTTTACTTAAAATGAGTTTATTGTTTTACTTAAAATAAGTTAAAGTCAATTTTATTCCTTGGAACAATATGGTCATTGCTAATGAATGTATTGTAACAAACTATTAGAATTAATGATGGTAGATACTGAGATCAGTGTATTCCGTGTAAAATAAAATATAACAGAAAAGAGGAAGGAATTTATTGAAAATTGAACAACATTCATAGTATCCAAACTCCAGCAATATGTTTCTGAAACACATAATTATTTTTAGCTGGAGACTTGAAGGTTTTCTTTGCTAAAACAGTGCAACCAATTTCTCCCTTTTCTATCAATCACTGAAGTCCATCTGATATAATGGAAAAAGCCCAGGACAGGATGATTAGCAGTTTTGGACTCTAGATCCAGCTCTGTCATGACACTGTAACCTTAGGCTCATATCTTTTACCTTCTCTAGCCACCTGTTTTCCTATGTGTAAATTATGAGCTTTGGATTAGATCAGTGATTCTCAAAGAATGACCCCTGGACCAGCGGCCCCAGCTTCACCTGGGAACTTTTTAGAAATGTACACCCTCAGACCCCTACCTCAGATGTACTGATTTAAAGACTCTTGATGGGGAGCAGGGGGAGAGAAGGAAACAATCTGTGTTTTAGCAAGCCCTGTGGATGATTCTGATATACACTAGAGTTTGAGAATCACTGCCCTAAATTAAATTTTAGCCTAAAATTTAAATTGTTGGACTGAATTTCAGAGCTTTCTGATTCAATAGTCATGGAGTAGAGCTTAAGAATTTGCTTTTTAAAGAAAGTTTCCAGATATTGCTCAGGCTGCTGGTCAGGTACTACACTTTGCGAAGTAATACTAGGTTATCTCAAATTTCTATTCCAACTCTATGTTTCTATTATTACTCTTGCTTTCACGATGTCCTCTGACCTCCTCCTTATTTACTTTGTCTCTCATCTTATCGAATAGCCTCTGGGCTAATCTTTAGTGTTTGAAGTTTCTAACATATCTTTCTTTGTAGAGTGTGATGAACAGAAATAAACTGACCTAAATTCTTACAGCTTATGTTAATATGAAATACCTACAGCTCTTTGGCAGTAAAAATGACCCCAAGAGCTTGGTTACTTATCTCATGAAGACGGAAAATTATGAAGGAAGTAATTTAAGACACTAAGTTTCAAGAATTAAGGGTTGGTTTCTAATTGCTATTGACCTCCTTCTGTTGTCTGATGATGTGAAGAGCTTGGGCGACCAATGTAAAAATAATGTTTTCATTCTAAGATGCTGTTAAATAAGTAACACCAAAGAGCTCCAAATATATGTTCAAATGAACATGTATTCCCATCTCTTCTTTATCATGGTTTTCTAGATACTTGGGATAAGATAATTCTCTGTGAGGCATATTGTCTGCTAAACATGACAAACCTCTGCCTGCCAAACTGAATTATTTAGTTGGGTCATGTTTCTTTCTTAGAGTTATGAGTAAGATCAACTATTGCTTTTATATTGCTAATTTTATCAGTAACTTGATAATTTTTTAGTCCTGAATATGGAAACCATATAAGAAAAGTACAAGAATCTAACAAGGATTTACTGTGACATTGCATTACTATTATGTCAAGTACTTTGCCATGAGAGTTACTTTTATTGTTTATTTAGTCCTCATAATAGTTGTGTAAGGTAGTATAATAAGCTTCAGTTTTTACATGAAGAAATATACTTAGAACAATTAAGTAACTGTTCACGATTACACAGTCAAAAAAATAGTAGCATATAGATTTGAGTTTAGATTTTTTTACCAACAAGGCCTTCATGGGCACCCAGTAAATTCTCAATAAATTCATGATGAATGAATGAAGGAATGACTGTAATCACACTATCTTCTTAATGTTGACTTTTAAACAATCATAGAATTATAAAGTTGGAAAGGCCCTAAAGGTTATTATATAATCAGGTTTTTAGTTATGTATTTCCTTTAAATATCTCTAACATATGGGGTTATACAGCCTTTCTTCACCTGACCATCTCCAGAGAAAGGATATATAACATCTCTTTAATCAGAGTGACTATAGAATAGTTTATTACTAGAAAGTTCTTCTTTGCATTTCATTTCCATGAAATTTCTTCTTTTGGGCCTAGTTCTCCCTCTGTTAACCATTCAGTCTTAATCCAATCCTTCTTCCATACATCATTCTTTCAAACATTTGAATATAACCTTACCTCTTTTATCTCTCAAGCTAAATATTCAAACATCTTCAGCTACTTCTCAATAATAACATAATATTTATGAAATGGAAGAAATAATAAATGAATATAATATCCAGACTCATCACTTTCTTTTTCTCCCATTTTAGAGTGTAAGCCATCTGTGCTATATGTTATGTACATATTAGGGCCATTTTTCTGGAGGAAAACGAAATTATTTCCTTTGATGTACTCTTGCACCAAACAATTGTAACCCATACAAAATACTGTGTTTTATTTTCTGGCATAGTACAGTGACCTTGTCTCTGACATCTCAAGTTTGCATCAGGGTACAACAAGCTGGAGTTCAGCAGCAAACCTGGTGCTTTTCTTCAGGGTTAAAGGCGAGACCTGGGCACTAGGGGATCAGCCTCAATTTAAGCAGGCTTAGTTTGTACTCCAATGTATGCAGCTTGGGCTTACCTCAGCTAAAATGGAAGAAATAGCTGCTCAAAGCTAGTTTCTTTCACGCCTCACTGGCAAGGTAGTAATTGCACAAAGACCTTTTTATTATAAGTTGATTTTCCTGAGAAATGAATTCAGAAAAATCCTGTAAAGTGTTTATTTTTTGCTTGCCCTTTATTAACCCACATCTTAGGGCTTTCCCTAGAGAAAAGCTGTTGGTAAATGAAGCCTCTTAGACCCACACAGAAGCATTTTTTGCACTGCGTCCCTGGCTATGAAGGGAACAGGGACAGGAAAAGGCAAGCCAGTGCTGATTAAACAGGGTCATCAGCCAGTGTATGGAATTTTGCCTAAAGAGAAGATTTAGGAATTTAGACGGGGAAGGGTTTGGGGTTGGAAGAATTACTGGTAAAGGTTTGTATTTTAAATAAGATATAATGTAGTCCTTTTATACCAGTAAAAAGGCTAAATACCCTGTTTGAACTTAAAGATAATTTCTTTTGGTGTATCTTAGTTTTGATCTTTAAATAATAAAAGTCCTGTATTCAACCCATAAAATTGTGCCCTAAAAGCCAGGACAAAACCTTCCTGTCATGCTATCCTGGAATCCGAACAGCATTCATAGAGTAAAGAAGGAAACTAGGAAATTAAAATGTAATTTTCACAAGCATGATTCTGTCATAGCTCTTATTTTCTTTATATGGAATACAAATACTGATATAGAGTAAAGATTTTCTATTTTGCATTTTTGTGCTCTTTGATACATTTATTGAGGTCAAATGAAATTTGATATAGTAGGATTTATTATGAAATGCTCTCTGAATACAACTCCATAATTACTGAGCTACATGGTAGTGCATAAAGCTGTAAAACTGCTTAGCCAGACAAGCAATTTATATGTTACATCGAGGTGTGTATGGCAAAGAATATTAGTTTAATTGGGAGCCAAGATGTAGTAGCCTTAAATCTGAAGAGCTATATGTTTAACATAATGCAGTGAGGCTTTGAAATAAGATACCTAAACTGGAGAGATACAGCTTTTAGAATATATAACAATTAGACATTATTTTCTGACCAGGGATACTAAATACTGTTTTTGAAAGAAAGCACAGAATGCAAAGCAGGTGAAAGGGCAAAACCTCTAACATTGTACAAGAAATAATGTAATACATTATTTCTTCTAGTTCTTTGTTTAAAAGAAAAAATAAAAAGGAAAAAGTCAAGAGAAAAGAACACCATTACTACAGTTTGGTGGAAGCAGGGATGAGGCAAATTCACAATGACGTTATGTCTTCAGCATGCTATTAGCATCTCAGAAAAGGGATTTGGTGAATTTTAACTGAATTTCCTCAGAGAGCAGATTTGGAATGAGGTTAGAGGTAGGTGGCTATGTGAGTACCAGCACACCACCAGGAGTGAAAAACAAATTCTTCTTGGCATACATTTGCTCCCTGTCTGATCATAGGCTCTCTTCTGTTTAGCAGGTTCAGGGTCACATGCCTCCGCTCATGATCCCAATTTTTCCACATGACCAGCGGACCCTGGCAGCAGCTGCTGCTGCCCAACAGGGATTCCTCTTCCCCCCTGGAATAACATACAAACCAGGTAAGTAGAGAGGGATTTAACATTCTTTTGGAAATGCTCAGATCCACATGTTTTTGCTTAGTACTCAAACAAACACAGGAGCATGCAAGGGAACTATGAATAAAAATATCATAAAATCTTATTTTAAAGTAAAATTAGAATTGGGAAGAGCGGGCATTGTAATAAACTAATTGGTTGCTAAAAACTTTTACTTTCTCTTCTTCCACTTGAGTTTGTCATGAATTCACAGATAAGATACTACTTCTCCTGGGGACTACAATGTTTTTGTCAGCTCTCTCCCATATTTTACTGAATAATTTTTTTTGGTTAAAGATCCTTTTCTCCCTGCGAAAGCTGTTATGCTCTGGGAAGGTGATCACATACAGTATAAAATGTTATTGTTTGTTTTCAGACTTCTCCTAGAAAAATAGTTAAAACTGGACTGATTTAATTAGCTTACCATTAGTAGGTAAAATTGCTTTTATTTTCGTCTAAATAATGAAGTATTCAGTATTTTTTAATTCATTTTTAAATCTCAAAAAAAGGTCATGTAACCTTGCAGTGAAATATGTTTTAAGATGATTTAGCAAATATTATGATTTTTCTTTATTCCTCTGAGTTTACTGGACTCCTGGGGAATTCAATTAGGGGCATAATGGTTTGAAGCTTCTTTCAGAGCCTCCTTGTAAACAGGGCTTTAAATGTTTAAAGATATGTTTCCAAAGGAATCCAATGTAAGAAGATAGTCAAGTAAATAAAAGTCAACCTTAATTTCATTTATGCATTCTTTGTAAGTGACCTCAGCTCAGAAGTAGTGACCTTGTTCTACTCATTAATAATTTCTGTGTCAAGTTCTTTTTAACATATTAACCTGATTATATTAACCATCAAATCTGAGTACAACAAATCTGCATGCAGCATTTTCTTTGTGTATGTGGTTTATAAAGTGAACAAAGGCATTTTAATATGCTTAAAGCAATAAGAAAACATAAATCACTTTACTAAAATTCTGGATAAGGAAGCTTACTAAATAGCATAAAAATAAGCCTAGTGCATTTTAGCATCTGTTCTAATTGCTTGTTGCCATTGATTATTCTTTTGCATTCAATAGAGAACTTCTTTGTAAGAAAAGGTAGGATGTCTGTGACAAAACACAAATGATTCAAGGAATAGAGATATTAAGGGATTGGTGAGTTTAAGGGCTGTCCAAAAATTCCTCACACATAAATGAATCAAACTCATATTACTAAAAGGTTTTTGGACACCTGGGAGAAAATTATGTCATTAAAATTGTTAAAAATTCATTTTTCTAAAGCATGATTTTTAGAACAAGTTATACTTACCTCCTATGAAATTGGCATCTATATTAAGGAAGGAGATTTTTTTTTTCAGTGCAGTGTTTGTCATCTCTGTAAGTCATTGGAAACTATTTCTTCATTTCGACTTCCACTGGAACATTAAAGTAAACCAAGTTCACTGTTCTATTCTAAATTTGAGTTTGACATCCCTGTACCAGTCCCAGAAATATTTTAAATGAACTATATGTGGAAACTTTCCATTTGACTTCAGTGTTTTTAAAGTTAAAATGACTCATTTCAAAATCATGTATGGGTCTTATTTTCTGTTAGATGCAGACATCTTATAACTATATTACTTGCCTAATACTGCCACTTTTCATGGGAGAAGATACTGTTATATATTTAATGAATTTAGACCATTTTTCAGTCTTCTCAAACAGCATTAATGAGATTACAAAATTTAACTGAGAAAAATGGAGAAACTAGAAAAATATTGTGCAGAAATTAGGTACTCCCATTGAACAAAGTGCAGCTTAGAGTTAGTGTCCTAGGGTAACAAAGCTGTATTTGATTATGTTGGCTAAACTCTTTTGAGTAAGGCAGGACAATGGCTTTGGAGATGTAGGAAGAATTTTAATCACAAGCAAGGTTGGTAAAAAAGTGTTTACTTTCGTGTCACTCCTAAATTATGTCAGACAATTTAATTAATCAGAACTCTAATAATTTCAATAGTTTGGCAAATCTAGTCTTTGTTGTATATGAAAAATATGTTTAAAATGGATTAAAATGGCATGTTCTTATGCTATTAGTAGAGAAATTACATCCTCAGAAGACTTAATCAATCTATGCAGTGTTTTGATCATTCACGTGAATTAAGTGAAGAGACTGCCATTGGACTGGAAACTGGACAAGTACAATACAACTTTTTTTGCCCCAAACTGAGCTATGGCAACTTCACTTGAAATATATGTGAGGGCTAGGTGTGGAGGCTCATGCCTGTAATCCCAGCACTTTGGGAGGCTGAGGAGTTTGAGGATCACTGGAAACCAGGAGTTCAAGACCAGCCTGGGCAACATAGTGAGACCTTGTCTCTAAAAAGATTAAAAAGTTAACCAAGCTTGGTGGTGTGCACCTGTAGTCCCAGCTACTCAGGAGATTGATGTGGCAGGATTATTTGAGCCTGGTAGGTTGAGGCAGCAGCAA